CTTTTTTCTTTTTGCTTATGTGGTGCTGAGGAATCGAACCCAGGGCCTCAGGCATGCAAGGCAAGTGCTCTACCACTGAGCCACCTTCCCAGCCCCTGGGATGACATTTATTGAGATGAAGTCTCAAGCACTTTTTATGCCCTGGCTGGCCTTGAACTACCATCTTGATCTAGCTACAATTACAGGCTGGAGCTAGCCCATTCAGAACCCAGGCCTTTATGAGTGCCGCTGATGGATGAGGAAACTGAGACTCAAGGATAGGAAGTAACAATATTGAATCTCTTAGATCTCTCCCCAGAAAAGGATTGAGGCGACACCCCAAAACCCAGTTGGCATGACCTTCCAGGATACCATTGCTATTCACTCTCTGTCCTTCACTTTCCAGAGACCCTAACACCTCAGCCTCATTAGGTGTGTGAGGCTGGCACCTCTGTTACTCTCTCTGTCCCAGAGTCAACACTGGCAAGGGGCTGGATGCTGTTTCCTGCTGGGGGGCCTTGGGACTGGAGCATTATGGATAAGCCGAACACCCCCCCAGTTCTCTTCTAGCCTGATGTGTCCCTGCTGCAGGGCTTGCTGGATGGCAGTGGTGAGGACATCAAAGGCCAGCTCCACATTGCAGTTGTTTGTGGCTGAGGTCTCCAGGAAGGTCATGCCCAGAGAGGCAGCCAGGTCCTCAGCCTCCTGGGTGGAGACACAGCGGGTACTCTGCAGGTCACTCTTGTGGCCAATCAGCAGGAAGATCGCTTTGTCAGGGCCCTGAGTGGAAAGGACCTCCTGGTGCCAATATTGGATGTGTTCAAAGGATTCTCTGTTTGTCACATCAAAGACCAGCAGGACACCCACCAGGCTGCGGTAAAAGGACCTAGTGATGCACCTGGAAGGGAGGGGGAGGTAAAGAAGGAGAGCTTTATGCCTTCCAGCCACCTGCCAGGGTGGAGCTTGAGTAGTAACCTGCTTGGCATAGCACAAGACTCCAGTACCGCCCCACAAAATAGATACCCCCTGAGGTAGGACCTACCCCTGATAGCCACAGAGTGCTTCACACCCAATTCTAGTTTCCCTCTGCCTCAGTGCCTCTTTGTCTCCCCCAGGAGACTGGGTGATCTCTGGTGAGAGAGAATGAGTTGTGCAGTCGACCAACCATCTCCCCAATCCTGGGGGACTGATACTTCCCTGATTTGGGATTGGAGTGTGTGTGTGTATGTGTGTGTGTGTGTGTGTGTGTGTGTGTGTGTGTGTATGTTGGGGGGGGCAGTCCTGGTGCTTGAACTCAGCCTAGGTACTGTCTCTGAGTTTTTTTTTGTTTTTGTTTTTTTTGGTCCGGTCATGGGGCCTGAACTCTGGGCCTGGGCGCTGTCCCTCAACTCTTCAGCTCAAGGCTAGCGCTCTACCATGTGAGCCACAGCGCCACTTCCGGCTTTTTTCTTTTTGCTTATGTGGTGCTGAGAAATCGAACCCAGGGCCTCAGGCATGCAAGGCAAGTGCTCTACCACTGAGCCACCTTCCCAGCCCTGTCCCTGAGCGTTTTGTCCAAGGCTGTGTACTACCACTTGAGCTACACCTCCATTTCCAAGATTGTATTTTGTTCTTCCTTCTTTGCTGAGCAAACTCCTACTTATCTTCAAGGCCAACCTAAATCTCTTCCTTTGACTCTCCCTTTACTCCTCCCTTCCCCCCCATTTAGCCCTTCAGGTGCAAATCCCCCTAGCCCAGGGTCTCTCTGGGGCTGGGGGAGGAGTGGGGAGGTCCGGAGCCTGCCTAGGGCCTGCGGGTCCGGCTCGCCCAGTGTTAGGATGGATGACACCGGGAGGAGCCCGTAGGGACCCCCCAAACCTCTACTTGGGCTGGCTGGGACCGGCCCCTGCGGTCAGGGTCCCTCCCGCGATGCCCAGGCCGCACCTGAAGCGCTCGTGGCCCGCGGTGTCCCACAGCTGCAGCTTGATGCGCGGCCCCGCGGGCAGCTGCAGCACCCGGCTGTAGAACTCGACGCCCACCGTGGGCTCGGGCTCCGCCGCGGCCTGGGGCTCCGGGGGCCGCACATAGCGCCGCAGCAGCGACGTCTTGCCCACCGCCGCGTCCCCCAGCAGCGCGATCCGGAACTGGTAGCCGCAGTCCCGGGTCTCCATGGCCGGCAGACGGGGTCCAGCCCGGCCCCGCCCTCCTCGCCACGCGTCCATCCTGTCACAAGACTGCTGAACCGGGGACTTGAATGTGCAACTCTCAAAAGCTGACAGCAGCCCGGGCCTGAATAGATAAGGCGGGGAGGGCGGGGCCGGAGCCTTAGCCCATCCCCCCAGCTCTTCTTTCATTGGGAGGTTTCCGCTCCAGCCCCACCCCCCGGGGCTCCCCTTTGGGCGCATCTGTGGACTGGAGGCCACTCAAGGAAGCCGATGGCTTACAGTTGCCCCCTTCCCAAGCAGGTGCCCCTGGAGCCCTGGTTCAAGGTTCAGGTGTCTGTGCCCCACGGGTTCTACTACAAGAGGCAGGGCAAACACTCAGACATTCACTGACACCTGCAACCTGGAGGGAGCGGCCGGCTGCCCGCCAGACCGCTGCTGTTTCTGAGGCCAGAGGATGAGCTCTGTGTGCTTTGTGGGCAGTAACTCTGTGATAGGGCAATGTGCCTATGGGAGAGCACAGAGACTAAGGAGACGGGCTTGCTTGTCCCTGATTCCTTACTCCCTTGATTCCTCAAAGGAAAGCACAGGACTGAGGGAATTTTTCAGTTTGCACAACTCATTCTCTCTAACTA